CCTTTCGAGAACAATTGTGGTCAGACTTTCGATCTCCATTGCCGAAATACAGCCATCTGTGGCCATCGCTGAGGAGTTCACTTGTTCACTGTACTGGCTTACTCACTGGCTTTGCACTGCCACTCGAACTCTGAGGCACTTTGACCACCTTAGATGAGGTAATCCTCTGTTTAAAAATTGCCTCAATATTTTCTCATCTTTAGGGCAATGAAGTAAATTCTTTCCTCATGACTAACTTTGATAGACTAAGTTGCCCTGTCCCAGTGATCTACAATACTTATAATGCACATTTGTGAAATATTGGACGAATCCAGCGAAATGACTTACATTCGAAATTACATTTTCCAACGTTTTCCTTCACAAATAGTCCCAATTTGTTTCCACCTTTAGGGCAATGAAGTCAATTTTTCTTCAGGACTAACATTGGCTAACAAAATGGCGCTGTCCCAGTGATCTACAATACTTATAATTATTACACATGTGAACTATTGGGAGTCAGAGTGAGGAAATGGCCTAAATTGAAACTTGAACTGTTCTGCCATGTTTTATGCAGTAAACACAGGGCTGAGAGCCCGCAAGAGCCATCCCGGAAGATCTTGTGCGCCACCAACCAAACCTTCGGTGAATGTTCACAAGGTTAGAAGCTCGCACAGATAACACACATTGGATGCTAATAGTAATACAATGCACTCAGGAATGTGTGCAAATACAACAGAATTAATTCCGAATAAAGTCAACAATAGCTGCCTCAACACAGTGCTAACAACCTTCCGCATTTTCCATATTTGAGTGGAAAGAAAACGCTGCAGTGGAGAGTCCTTAGAAAAGACTGAAAAAATATCATCATATCGCTGCACGAGATCATCCTTATAAGTTATAACGTCAGCGGATCGTACTGTGGTTGATTCATACGGCGGTAAATACACACCTGTCCACACAGGCTCTCTAAACTGAAAAGTTATTCTGGCACAGAGCTTTCCTTCCCACCACCACCATCATCAGTTCGCATCTGGCGCCTAGTCGATGCAGGGTGAGTGGTGTTCGATATAGCATGCTGGTACATCAGGTAGCGCATAGTTGATTCATACGGTGGTAAATACACACCTGGCAATATGGCGGTAAATACACGCCTGCCCAGACACGCTCTCTAAACTGCAAAGTTATTCTGGCACAGAGCTCTCCTTCTCATCACCACCACCACCACTACCACCACCATCAGTTTGCGCCTGGCGCCTAGTCGATGCATGGTTAGCGGTATCCGACATAGCAGGCTGGCACATCAGGTAACGCATGGCACATAGAAGATGGAAACGACATAGCTTGATTGCGACGTACATTTCGTTCTCTCGGTTATGCTGTAGCCTGAAAAAAGGAAATAAGACAATGCATGCACATGACACAGACAAGTAATTACTGTTACAAATAATGCATACTGCTTGATAACAGAGAAAGAAAGTCAGTGGTCACACAAGTTTTTGGTCGTCCCTGAAACGAAGATCGTTCCAGGGGGGGGGGGGGGGGGGGAGCTAAAATCTCAGTCGACTGACGCTATGCATACACATGCATGCGATTTTCGTCGTCCATTCATTTCGGAGGGTGGAGAGGGGTCCGAGTACGAAATGAATGATGGTTTTTTTCAGGGATGACTACACACTTTTGAGATGAGCCCTTATTGCATCAATTTATCGTCTGAATTGCGCAATTGAGTCCCACTTTTATTATGTTGGGTCCAGATTTCAAGACTCGTGAAGTTCGAGGCGAAAAGCGAGGCCGATGAAGGGACGCCAGTAATTCAGTCTAGTCCGGTGTCATGGAGAGGGACCGATGAACCGGCAACAAGAGAATTCAATACGCATGCTACTCTTCAGTTCATTGCTGGGGAAGACTACTCAAGGCCACGTCACTCCGGCAATTCGATGTACAAATCAGCAGCAACACTTGCAAACGTATTCCTACCAGCTGACCAGCAAGTTACCAGCCATCAGCTCTTCAAATAATTCCAACTTAACAAAGAGAGGAGATGGACAGATCGGAAAGTATCGTGGCAAGCTCAGGACAACACACTTCCGGCCCTATGTAACAACAGTGGAAAGTGCGTGCCATGGTATATTTTCGAAAGCATCTCAAGAACCAGCTAATGTGGACTGGGAGTCCATTTGCATCGTCCGATCAGCTGCTACAAGTGCCGTGAGCCAATGGCAAACACATTTGACAGAGACTACTACCTCTGCTGAATGCAACTTTGGCATTGCAGAGATCTACAAGCACGTTATCTTATCTATCAATAGAGTTGTATCCTCGGATGACTATGTGAAGTGTGAGGTCGTACTGTACTGCAGACGCGTCTTCGACCTGGTTGAAAATGTACGCAACAGTTCCCACCCTCTTGACCAGAGGTCGCACACACCCTAGGATTTTGATGGGTTTGTATGACTCCCAGCTCTTGACTTTTGTTGGGTGTACGAGACGCACGCACAGTTTTCGTAGGGTGAGTACTTTTTCATGTAGTACTGAATGCGGCAAGCAGGACTCGCCCATCCGCCCCTCCCCAAATGGATCTACTCGAATGGTTGCGGAGGTAGGGGTGCCGCGAGTCTGGCGGGATTTTACGACATACACAAGCGCGCACACACGCACACAATATACACACGCACGCACACATATACACACGGACGCACGCTATGTCGCACGTCTTGGGCATGGCTTCGTGAATACAAATAATAATTTAATGTTATAATTTATAGTATCCAAATGTTAGAGCAGCTTTACAAAACCTACCGTTCAATACTGGATCATCTTGTGACAGCTTCCTTGCAACACCCATGACTTGACCCCACTTCGTCTTGACGTCGGGAAATCGTTCACACCGGAGTTGGGACACGACTCATTGAAATCCAGGCTTATCTGCTGCTGGGAGCAGGACAGAGCTGATGGACGTCACCAGCGGCTGTAGAACAACCATAAACGAGTCTTCTTTCTCCGCAGTCAGGCGGGACAGCAGCTTTGCAACGCAAGCTTCTTGCCTTCTGTGGGTCTTTAGCGGCTGGGATTCGGAACGCTCTGTAGAAACCATTGAACAAGTACTGCACTCTATCAACCCACAAGTATTTCTTCCAATTCATGATTATTCGCAACTTTTTATGCAGTACGCGCACCAGATCAGAAGCCGCTAAGTAGCAAGGTTGAAAGTTTCAAGACAAATTGAAAAATATAATATTAAACATAGAAAATTCAAACCATACCTGTGGCCCAAGCCAACACAGACTGAGCGTTCACGCGAAGAGAACGTAGATCTACGTCAGCTGAGGTTTCCTTAGGATCAGGAGGTGATTCTTGACCCGGATCTGGATCGCGATCAGCAGCACTCTCTGCCTCCATCACGATCATCAAATGCAACTAATTACTTGGAAAAGTAGTTCATTCTTCTTCTTCTTTCCGAGCTACGATTTCCCACGATCCTATCGATCCTGCACGAGTCCGTTCCCCAAGGATCTAGGAGTGCACTCCCATGGCATAAGTACGCGGAGTAGTTGGTTTATAACTCAGGGCACGCACCGGGATATCTGAGGGAAAAGTGGGAGAAAGTGCCGCGAGTCAATCATATTCATAGTCGGCCCCGGAAGGCGTCGTGTCGCCTCCCGGGTCTATATGACTCCCTGGTTATAATGCTAGCATGATGCTCGTTGCAAATCGCACACTATAATGCTACTTATAATGCTAGCATTATCCGCCCAGGCCTACTGGTGTATCTAGTGTGAGTGCCAAAACGCCCAATTTCTTACAATGGGGGAGAGGAAGAGAGCGGATTAAGCCTCCCCACACTGAAAAGCATGAACAGAAATCCCTGAAAAACACCTAAAGAGACCCGCAAATGTTTGATTACACAAACTGAGCACGTTTCCATAGCAATTCAGAGCAAAACATTGAAAACAAACATTGAAAGCAAATATTAATAATATTGTCAGTCTACATGTATATGAAAAGAACATTGACATCCACAGTAACTGTTACGTCACGGGATAAGTACCCTTCCGCCTTGTATCTGCCGCACTTAAGTTTCCATTCCTTTCCGTCCGTCCGTCCGTCTGTCTCTCTGTCTGTCTCTGCCCCTGCGTCTGTCTATTTGTGTCTGTCTGTCTGTCTGTCTCTCCCTCTTTTTTCTTGTTCACGAAGTTATCGTGCTTCGCTTCTTTGTTGTCTGCTGCACATGCAATGACGGCTGCACTTGTCATGGCCACTATCACTGCAGTTGTCATAGTTGTCACCATAGGGCCAGCGTAAACCCAAAGCATACCAGCAAGAGTATAATTATTATACTCTTGATACTACCAAGAGTATAATTATTATACTCTTGATACTACATGTAGTACTAGTACTAGTACACCAGCTTTGCTCAAAATTGTACGGGATCGGTATTGTGACAACAAATACTTGGAGTTGCATACTCTTGGGTGATGTGCTCTTGCGGAGGAGGGAGCTATTGTACTACCAAGAGTACATAACCCCGGGGTGGGGGTTACATGTATGTACTCTTGGTACCACTCCCTGCTTCAAGTGCCAGCACCCCTAGTGGTGCACTTTGAGAACCCCCCCCCCCCCCCCCGGTGCGGGCTCACGCCCCTACATCGGGCTACCCCTAAGACAGAATGATAGTAGCAAGAGTGCAAGAGTGCAAACAAATTGTTTATGGACTCTTGATAGTAGACGACTGGTCGAAATTAAAAAAAAGCGACATAGTTAGTCCAAACATGCACGTGTGTATCCAACTCTCCCCCCCCCCCCCCACCCACACACACATGCACATTTACCCCCCCCCCCCCCCCACAAAAATACACACACAGACATGCACGCATGCACACATGCACGTTTCCCCCCCCCCCCCCTCCCGTCCCCCACATCCACCCACTGCCACCCACAGACATGCACGCACAACCACTATACTATCCCTACAAGCAAGCACGAAGGCGGAATTCAAAAGACGGAGGATACTCTTTTCTCTATCATTACCTTATGAGACAATATGTGTAGGGAGCCACAGGAAGAGACTGTATCAAAGTATCAGACTAAAACAGAGCTGCAACAATATTAAAAGGGATTTAAAAAAGACGGAGATTTCTCATACTTATCAAGGGTACATAAATAAATAAAAAATGTTTATGGCTTGCTATTATTATGATAGATCATTTTGGTAGGTAGAAGGCCATCAGCAGAGGTCAACTCGGCATACACATTATCAGAGCAAAGCAGAGCTGCAGGTCTGGACAGTATTCAGCCAAACTCACTGGCCACTAGCTACTGATGACCAGTACTAGTAAGTAGGCGCTTGCGTGACGTCATGCATGGTGTTCAGGTGAATGCAATGGCGCGGCCAACAAGCATGTGCATACACGGACCGAGGGAGTGCGTCTGCTTGTTTGTGTGTGTGTGTGGGGGGGGGGGGGGTGAAATCATTTTTGTCTGCTCTCTACGTACATTCTGCAAGTAACATGGAATTCTAACACGAGTATTCTTTTCTAATCAGTTTGGGGCTGGCGTATCTGTTGGTCTCGTCGAAGTTCTCCTCCTCCTCGCATGATTCCTTTTCTTGGGCGGCTTTGCTGGCGTACCTGCTGGTCTCGGAGCTGGACTCATCATCGCCGCACGATGGTCCCCGGTGCCAGGCGTTTTTGCTCGCGTATACGCTGGTGTATTCGCTGGACAAGGAGCAGGCTGCCTCCTGATTTGGCGACCGCTCTACGCTAGCTCTCGTGTCGGAGGTTGCGCCCGGCCCCTTGTTCAGCACGGGAGACATTGGGGTCCTTAGGAGCATGGACGTGCTGAGCATTCCCGTGAGCAGCGTGAATGGCTTCCTCACCTCCGCGCTGCCAGATCTCCGCGAGCGACGTCGCAGTACTACGAAGGCCACCACAATAAGTACAATTACAGCGGCAGCGATAGATCCGGCAATGGGAGCCACCAAGTTCGTCGAGTTCAGTTTGCCAGGTGTCTTCAGATCTGCAGGCCAGATAACACACGCACACAATTGTTGGACATATCTGCTGGAAGTTATGGGTCATTAGGACTGAAACGATTATACCAATTCAGGGATGAGTTTATTGTCATATTAATTTTTTGCATAGCAGTTTTTGCTATACAAAATCACAATTGTGTAGCACTCTTTGATTTTGCATCTTTTGATTAGCAATTTCTTTGAAGGCTGGGTGTTTACCACATTGTCCTTCTTGAGAGTGATGCCTGAAAGCACATTTTCAAAAAACCCCGACTGAATCATAATGTGCACGCAGATTGAGTGCCTGGAGCACATACACTGAACTGTATGCATGTTACTTGACAGCGCAGGCTAGGCATGGATAGTCTGTATGTATCGCAGTTTTCTGCGAGTCATGGTGACTTTTGAGTAGCAGTAGATTGATTTTGCATCGCAAACTGTGATGCGATACAGGATAAATTCATCCTTGCAATTACTCGTTACGCCATCGATAATTCCTTATCAATCAAGTAATCGTTACGTTATAGATTACACGTTAGGGTTTCAGTCAAAAAGTACTGAAAACCCTCGTTTTTGTGAAGTTTGAATCAGTTTCCACTGTGAGCATGCAGTTGCCAGGGGCATGGTGCATATTCTGAGGTTAAATTGACTTTATAACTGCCATGTTTCAGAGCTACCCTGTCACCAATGCAGATTTGTGGTATTATGAAAGCCTAGCTTTTGGAAACAGAGTAATTTTTCCACAAAATTCTGACACTATTAATAATTTTGCTAACGATTATAATCGATTAATCCATCGTTAAGCTAAGCTTAAAGTAGTCGATAGGTGAAATCCACGATCGTTTCAGCCCTATAAATAATAATTATTATTATACTCCTGATACTAGGTGCTAGGTGCTGGTTGGACTTTTGGATGCTCTGGTTGGAGGAAGAAGCTTGAAGAAGCTTGCTTGGCTGCTGAGTTGCTTGGTTGCTGTTTGGTCTGGAGCTGGCTGGGGCTGCTGTTGTATCTTCAGGTTGGCTGAGTTGGCAGTGTCCTGCCATTGGATGAAGTCCTGGTCCAGGTCTGGTCTAATCCTTAGCGCTAGGGCTGGCGCTGGATCACGCGCTGGAGTGGAGTGCTCACGCCTCTGTTCACACTGCTGGCTTGTCTTTACGACGCTATTTTCGAGACTTGCTGCGGCCGTGTCTGCGGTAATCTGGTGCAGGATGAGCCTGGGTGACGTCGTAGACTTGGCCATTCTCACTTTCGAGGAACTGCGAGGTTTAGCTCGGCGGCATAGCATTGATGGCCTGGACAGTATGGCTCGCGGGGAGGTGGTTGGGAAACTTCGCGAGGCTGGTGTGGGTGTGTTACACTCATCAGCTGCTGGGGTCGTTGAGCGTTTGGATGAGATGATGCGGATTGTCGCTAGCATCAGTGACGAGTTGGCAGCGCTGAGAGACGACCGGGGGCGGGAGATAAAGGCTGCAGAGGAGAAGGGAGTCCCCTTACTAGAGGTTGAAGTTCCACCGCCTGCTGCTGACAGCGTCGGGACGTACAGTGCGGCAGTACAGTCGTCACCATGGCCACAGGTACGTGATCGGGACAACGTACGGGGACGCCCCAGTACGAGTCGCACTACGCGATATCAAAGTCACCCAGGCACTCAGGTCACGTCACATGTCACAGTACCCACGTCAACGACACGATCCACAGCACACTCCTCCGGATCTAAGACTGCCGTCACATCCTACTATCAGCGCCCACCAAAACAATCAACAACCCTACGAGCGGCATCCAGAACAAAATGCAAAGCCCTTTATGTGGGAAACGTCCACCCTGGATGTTCTGCAGAGAGCATTGAGAAGTGGTGTAGCGACAGGGGAGTCTCCGTAATAAAATGCTCAGTTTCGGAAACGAAGTACTTCGGTCTGGCTTTTGCCCACGTGGTTCTCTCGGAATCCGACTTTGAACGATCTATGTCTGCCGACTTTTGGCCAGAAACCCTGCGTGTACGAGAATGGCGATTCGCATCTGACCGCATTGCTACCTCCTACAACTAACTATGACTTCACCCACTCTCTCTCAGCCACCACCTTTTTGCCCCACTGTGGAACCCATGCAGCATGATGTTATAAGTAACCTTGTCTTCCCCAACACTACTGGAACACTGAATCCACTGGCCCGTCCCTTTTATCCTCCCATCCATACTGCCCTTACCATCCTTTCCCTCAACTGCCGCTCAGTGGTCAACAAAGTAGCGGAACTCACTGTTATGTGCAACATCTACTCTCCGGAGGTTATATGTTTGTGTGAAACATGGTTGTCCCCTGCCAACCTCTTCTCATTGGCAGGCTACACAGTTCATCGACGGGATCGTCCCACTTGTAATATTCAATCAGCCAATCCTACCAGAGGTTATGGTGGGGTAGCCATACTGGTGAAAGATGGCTCCTTTACATCGGTGAAGCCTCTGGCGAATCTTCAGCAACCGGGCTTGGAGGCCATCTGGCTTGAGCTTCGCACAGCCAACTCACCCCAACGTCCACTCATAGTCTGCGCCACCTACCGACCTCCTGGTGGTACCCTGGCGGATATCCAGGCCTATTCTGATGGTCTGGAAGACTGCCTTCTGTCAATTAATCTATCTGAATCCACACTACTCCTCACCGGTGATTTCAATGCCCATAACTCGAGCTGGTTGGCTGGTGATCGGACAACCCCGGTGGGTCAGTGCCTTGAAACTGCCTTCAGGTGCTTCGGATTAGAGCAACTGGTCAACTTCCCTACGCACTGGAGCCCAAGTGGCCGGTCATCTTGCTTGGACCTCATCGTCACAAATTCACCCCAACAGTTCCTCTCCGTTGATTCAGCCGCTCCACTGGGTAGCTCTGACCACGTGCAGCTCATCTGTCGAATCCGTCTCCCCGCCACGTCCAAAAATCCAACCCTACACCATCACTTCCTCCCAACATCTACCCCTACACCCCCAGGTTACAATTTCAAGTTGGTGCCATGTTGCGTATGGGATGACCTGAATGCTGAACTTGCTGATGTCCACTGGAAATGTCACCTCCGCAGCTCGCACGTGGATGACGCTCTTTCGTCTTTCCACTCTATTCTTAGCAGGGCCATGGAGAAGCACCTCGGGTACTTCTCCCGGCGTCCACTCTCCCCCTCATGCTGACGTTTAGGTCAGCCACCTTGGGTTGATGCCCCCCTCCGTGCCGCCATTAAGGCAAAGCACGATTTCTACAGTGTGTGTAAGAAATACCCAACCCAGCTTAACATGCATGTATATCGATCTCAACGGAACTTGGTGAAGAGTCTGACTAGATCGAAATACCGGGGATACATTCAGTCCGTACAAGCTACGCTGCAGGACAAAAACCGCCCATCACTGTTTCAGTTCGTGAACAAATTAAAAAATCATAAAGTATCTCGTGACATCCCGACACTCACCATTAGTTCTACGTAGCAGGCTACTACCTCTTCAGCTAAAGCCACTGCATTGAACTCTCAGTTCGCCTCAGTGGCCGTGCCTGATGACCCTTCTCTACCCATTCCCCCCATTGCCGAGGAGTCGAGTGAGGTTGACCGTCTCACATCTGTCTTTACTACGACTGCTGCCATTCGACGTTACATTCGAAAGCTCCCGTCTGACAAGGCTCCGGACCCAGACGGCATCACTAATCTGGTATTAAAGTCCCTTGCGCCCTCAATAGCATACCCCTTATGTCTGATTTTCAACCTATCATTCCGCACTGGTCGTTTTCCCTCTGCATGGAAAACAGCTAATGTTATACCGATCTACAAGAAAGGGTCCCGCCACGAAGCATCAAACTACCGTCCGATATCTCTATTGTCCTGTGTTTCAAAACTCTGTGAGCGCGTTTTCTACGACCAATTGTACTGTCATGTCTCGTCACGTTTGAGTTCAGCTCAGTCCGGATTTCGCAGAGGCGATTCTACCACCCTCCAGCTGACGCGCCTGGTGCAATTAGTGTGTCGACATCGGGATGCTGGAGATCTAGTCGGGATTTGTTTTTTCGATCTTGCCAAGGCCTTCGATACCGTCTGGCACCGGGGGCTTTTGGCCAAGCTTCGTGGATCATTTACTGTAGACGGCAATCCCCTGCTATGGCTGACATCTTACCTAACTGGGCGAACGCAGTACGTCACGGTACATGGGACGTCCTCGGCCGACACAACAGTACTATCCGGAGTTCCCCAGGGTTCCATCCTCGGTCCCCTTCTTTTTATTTTATACGTCAATGATCTGCCCGCAGCTGCCCCGGGCACATCACTGTTCGCAGACGACACAACGCTCCTACGGGCATCTCCTAACATCACTGGCCTGATGAGTAACCTAGCTAACGGGATTCAAAGAGTTATTTCCTGGATGTCGTCTTGGCGGTTATCGCCCAATCTGTCTAAAACTAAAATCATGCTCTTTCCTTCTCAGCCCGATGTTCCGCCCCTCCTCCATCCCACTTTCCTCCAGCCTATAGACATAGTCTCCAGCCATAAGCATCTTGGCATTTTCATTGACTCTAATCTTTCATGGGAACCCCACATCGATTACATATGTAAACGATCAAGTTCATCTTTAGGAATTCTCTCTTCTCACTGTTACCATCTCCCAATCTCTTGTAAACTCCTCTTTTACTCAGCTTACTTACGCCCCATTTTTGATTATGCAGATACTGCTTGGGCTGGAATTTCCACAACCCGTGCTGCCAAGCTCGAGATTCAACACAAAAAAGTTCTCAAAATCCTCCTCCGAAAACCCCGCATGCTTCCATCTTCCACCCTTTATGCCCTTGCTGACACTTCCCCTTTGTCTAAGAGACGTAATTCACATCTTGTCACCCTTATCCATTCTCTCAAACTCAATCTGTGTCCACCTCACCTCCACTGTTTCAACTGGTTCTCTTCCCGTAGCACGAGAAACTCCCTTTCCCTTCCGAAACCTAAGTCCTCCTTTCTACTTCACTCTCCCTTTTTTATTGCGTACTCTGC